TATAATCCAAAACAAACATTTTCAGTCTACCAAGAAGAACACAAATTGATTTTCGGTCTTATGAAATTAGCTGAAATTGATATGAATAGGTTCTCCGAAAATTGATTCTATCTTTAGCGGCCATTTTGAGATGACTATGCCGATGAGAATAATGTGTGAGGACAACATATTTCAGTTCCTTTTAAGCCAGATGGAAACGTGTAACGACGCTCATGGAAAATATTGGCATATCATGTTTGACTATGCATGAGGCGTTTATTTGGCAAACAGGTTCATTATTATTTTCCGAATATGAAGAGGAATTATATGACACAAGAAACCTAAATCCCATGCAATTCATTTCCAAGTGGATATCATTTTCAAATTGACAAAAAGGTTAAATTTCGTATGACATGCGATATATTCCCACATGTCTGTCGTTTCGAGGTTCAATTTCCTCCACATAATCAGTAGATTTACATACAAATAGAACGGAAGAAATAATTTACGTTCTCAATTAGATTATCCATCGTTTTCTGACGATTTTTTTAGTCTGTCTGAAATGTATTTTGGTCCTGATGATTTTCATGGCTGTCTAGAGACGAACAAAAAACGTGGCGGAAAAACAAAATAAAATGAGCAAACAGATAACGAAGCCATATTTCACATAACACGTTCACACAACACGTGCACATCACACGTTCCGCGTTTTCACATGACTGTTGACGAAACAGCGTCGAAGTGAGACATGTTTTTCTGCTTTTTAAGTTTTTGTTTAACACTTTTATTAAATCAGACTCTATTTTCTCCGGAGTAGCTAGTTTTCTCTTCTGATTTTGAATGAGAATTATTAGCTACCGTTTTATACAGAATACATAAGTTCATGTTTAAATTAGAAATCCCCTATCAGTTCAGAATGCGCCGGGCAGCCTTGAATACCTGTAACTCTTAGTGTGAATATCGGACATCGACCTATAAGCTACGTCCTCCATTCCTCAGACACTAACTTACATCACACGCCTTGAGGGAATCAATTAACGTCATTCATTCCGAGGGCATCAACCTTTCAATTGATTCAACTCTGGAAAATAATGCCCTTATAATAAGAAAAAAAAAATCAAATTTATTACAGTTGTTAAACCACTTTAAGTATTCTAAACGCCCCGCACCCTGTTTAACTCATTTCTGGTAATTTTATTTACTGATTTATAGTGTTAATTTTATGGCTAGAAAGTAGAAAATTATATAACATTTAAAAAGAAATATTTATCAAAATGAAGACTTGCTTAATATGGGTTATATCTCATAATTTGAGATATATTTTGTTTATAATATTAAACATCGTCCGTTTATCGAGTTTCGAAACAATCTGTTCTAAATAATCAACCCAAGCATGAAGTGCAGAAGAAATTTGTTTTGCTGTTTGTTTTTTTTAACTATCAAGGATTAATTGAATTATAAGGGTGTCTTATAAATCTCCCAAAATAGTCATAAAAGTATTGCGATACAGAAGAACATGTAGATATGGTATTGTGGCCACGATAGAAGTTAAGGGGGCAGATATCGAATTTTGTAGATGCCACAGAGAATACACATTAGGCTAATAACACAAAGACGTGAAGAATTATGGGGATGGAAGCAACTGTTCGCCATCAGCAGAGCAGTCTCGCTACTTGTAGGGTCATGTCATGCTCGGCTTATTCGCCGCTTTGATTCCCAAAGGGGCTACAACTCAAGGCATTATACCTGCTGCGGCGTAAAAACTAATCCCTCGGTCTCCTCGGGATTTATCGAGCTATCGCGAGAACCCAACGAGATATTGATCTACAGAATGTTCTCGCGTGAGTGAAAGGTTTTCAAAAGTCCTTCATCATCGTCCTAATACACCGAGTCAGGCTAAGGGGCGATAGGAATTGACTGAAACCTACGTCCATAAATATGTATGAATTTATGCTGGAAAGTCAGAATATATTTCATCTAATATAACTCAATAATAGTCTGTCCGTCGTAATAGAAATATCTACTTAGGCCGAGAAAGGTTTCAGAATTGATCAAATGTTGACTTTTCAGAAACATCTCCGGACGGCTAGATTATGAATTGTGTATTTTAGTACAGTCATATATATACAAACATTGTAAAGCACTGGTGTCCTTTATGAATATATACAGGCAGATATGATGAAATCCGACAAAACTTTATGTAAAAGTGCTAACAAACATGATATAAGCCGAAAAATACTTATATCTAAGTGCTAACATGATGATATTATCCGACTACACTTTATGAAACCTTTACATAAAAGTGCAGACAGATGTGATATAATCCGACAATCCTTTCAATAAAAGTGTAGACAGATGTAATATTATCCGACAAAGCGCAGACAGATGTAATTGGTCCCACCGAATGTGAAACCTGATGCCTGCGTGTGATCTGACAAAACTCTATGAAAAAGTGCCTTCAAATGAAACGAAGCCAGCAAAGTCATGTTTTATATGTTTAGAACTTTGAAAACGAACATAAGACAAACATGAGATTGCACCTTTAACACTTGGTAATACAGTATGCAAAGGATGAATTACCCTGGAGCATACCGATGTTTCGTCCTTCTCAGCCTCACACTGACAATCTAACATTTAAACTGATTTAGAATGAGCATATGTGATTGATGAGCAAATTAATTAATCTTTCGAAATGTATGTATGAAATCTCATATAATAACGATATGATGTATACATGCATGCAACTAGATATGTACATGTCATTAAATAATATTCTTTTAAAAAAATGAAAACAAGAATATACCGCACGGTAAACAAAACCGTTATTGGAAGTAATTCAACGTTTTAATATCGACATTGTGGTACATGTAGTTTGAATAAAAATTATATATTTAATTTGTCCTCATTTTTCTTAATAACAATATTAAACAAAACTACGCTTCAAAGAAATACTGTAACTAGGGCTTATGGGCAAAGGTTTGATACAATCATTGGTTTACTTAAACTGTCTCTGAACAGTTTCAATAACTATAAAGACATGAAATAATAAAAAAAGTTACAATGTACATTGTACATAACTTACGCAACATAGTTAGTATTACTTAAGTTCACAACCATTCTTATTTCAATAAAATAAATCAAACTCTATTTTATCGAATCCGTTATCAAATATGTTGCGTAAAAACATAGTTAATGTAGAGGATTTGCATCCCACACCGAAGTTTTTCCTCTTGTGCTTCGTTAATTGGCAAGTCAGCAGTAGTCTGCGAGAAACAAGTCAGTGATCAATCAACGACTTAAAAACACGGTAAACAGAACTAATAGACAGAACTAACACGATTTCAAAACATACCATTTTGATATCCTTTACATGGGGAAGTGACCTGCTTTATTAAGTGAGGAATTCATCACGACGCGATGCTTTAACAGCTATTGGTTGTATTGATAAGCTACCATAGCTTGGCGTCGGAATAACGAATTACAGCCTTTACTGACACGACATTTCTGATTGTAGATCATATTTCATGGTTACTTCATTTTATTAAGTTGACAATTCTATATATCGCGTAGAGTTTAGACAGTGAGAAATGACCACGAAATACGGCTCCGTTCTGATGTTAAACACGGTGATGCATGCTCCGCGTTAAAATAGGCATTGTTCACAACCACTTCATCTTCCTGTCACTGCCGCATAGTGTCTAGAAAAACAAGAAGAAGACAGATGGTCTCCGAAATGTATTTTATTCCGAATGGATGATACGTCTTCATCTCGTGTGCGTTTTGTTCACATGGGTCCCATAGGGAGAAATTGAATTATTCCTAGCGTGGTTCTTGAAATTGAATTGAACAGTCAAATGAACAAGACATTCAGATGGACGAAGGAAGAGAGATGCCGACCACTTCCCCTTAGGGACTGATCTCCCATCCTAACATCTATTTTCTAAAATAAAGGAATGCTTCCCAACTTGTCCCGGAGTGTTATTGATTGTTTGTCTTATTTAGACTGTAATTTCACTCTATAATCCAAACTCAATATGCTGTACTGTGGAGGTGACGATTAACGGTAGATGAATCCCATCAGAGCATTCAAAGTGGCATTTCTGTAGGTAATTGTTCATAATTAAACGGTTGTAATGGGTTTTCCGTTAAGAATCACTAATGCGATGATGATCTGATCAGAAGACAAAACCATGCATTATGATTAAACCTTTAGACAACATGGGACAGAAAAACTACCACAAAACACCTCTGAAAATAACTATGGGAGAGATTACAGGAAGTGACGTAATCAATCTACGAGCGGTTTGCGTTAGTCATCTCCCCGGAGCACAAGTGAAAAAACACTATTAAAGAAAACGTCTGTAAGCTGTATAAGTTATTCTTTCTGTGTTTACGAACCATATATTGATAATAAACTTGGATGTATTAATGTGGAAATACATATTTATTAATGCATCATAACACAATGGCAGGTATTATGTTATACATGTAGACATAAATAAAATGTTGTTGAACTTAACGATTGTATGATGTACTCGTCTTTTTGCATTTATCTATTTATTGTGGTAACATCCTTTGAATAATGCGAGATCGTTATATACTACAAGTTGTGAAATAAGCCATTGCAAAAAGAAATGGAGTCATTCGTATTAAATGAAAAATCGATTATTATTACAAAACATTTTGCATTTAAATATCTTTTTTTCTGTAATAAACTACTGTAAATACCTTTTGAAAATGTCCTGCTCATTGTCAGGATGCCTATGCTATGTTAATTAGAAGTTTGAATAAATAATAACCTATCTGACGATCACGGATTGTCGCACACGTGTGTGTACTGTTACGGTATATTTTACATGTACATTTGTAAATTTGCGGCTTTTCCTCTTCAAACGGAAATGGGTTCGTCGTTTTCGACCAAAGATGTGAACGTAGAAGACAGAAGATCGTGCTACGTTTGGCACTAACATCATGCATGTAAACTGGCTCATATCTAACTGCCAATTTTTACTCTTTATCAGATATTTTTGCCACTGAGCCCAGCTTTGACGTACCCGTAGTAAATATCACAGTTGTGGAGGGAAAGACAGCTATTTTACCGTGCTCTGTGGAACATTTAGGCAGTCATAAGGTAAGCATCCAATCTGTTTGTAACACAGAAGTAAATGTTGTCATCGATATTAGTCTGAAGGTAATTTACTAATGCCAACATACCATATTTGAGGGGAAATGATAAATGATAATTATTTTAACAGTGTTTATGTTTGGTTTTTTTTTGTGTGTTTTTTTTAACAAACAAATTATTTGGATCATGAATGTAATAATCGGTTATCAATGTTTCTAATTGTAGTCGAAAAGTGCTATTGACAAGAGAAACAAACTAGAAGACAGTGTAACTTTACGGTTCATCGTAAACTGGAGAACGCGCTAGAAAATCTGTGTTCTATATTGTTTATTTATGACATTATTATTTGAATGAAAAGTAAAGAACACCGCGAATGAAATACCATAATATAACAATTAATATAGGTCCATATGCCGTGACTGATTCATGTTAGTTTAAAACAAATATTATAGGAAACTTGTCGAAATTTCGAGGAAAATGCTTTCGTTCTTTGTCCTCTGATGCGATAGTGTCAAGAAGCAAATGATTTGAAAAACTGACTAAGGCTAACATATTTTTCTGATATACCTGTATTAAGAGGCCACCCAAGGGCCCGGCAGAAATTGGCCGCTTAAGACAGGTGGCTGCTAAAACCAGGCTCACCCGAAAATCACAACTAAGCTTTCATACGTCCACGGGTTATAATGACCGGAAATATAGGCTGCTATGTAATTTTTGAATTTTTCTCCCTTCATCAACAGGGGTACGATTTCTTACTTGAATAGAAATGCCTAATCAATAAAATACAAACGTGTTTTGGTGATTAATTTCCTGAAATGATGAATTTATTTTTGTTTGGCTACACACGTGTTCCACATACGTTTTGCGCTAGCAGACAACCACCATTACTGAAATCTATGGATACAGTATGTACAGATACCACAGCAGATCTTACTTGTTTTGAAATCACAAGATGATCGAGTATACAAGGTGGGATTAATTGTTATGTTTGTAAAACATTGTTGATGGGTCGATAGGACCTGCCCAATTTACAAGCTGAAAATCGCTATGTAAACAACTTGTTAATTCCACGGGTCAAACCTTACCTATGGTTTTTAATTACTCATTGTAATAAGCTTTGCTCTATTGAATTTTGTTCTTGTTAATATATTGTGATCTTCTTTATGTCAATTTCTGGACAAAATGACCGCTGAATACAGGTGGAAATAACGTCTCGGGCCAGATTTATGTGACAGGTGGCTGCTTATTTCAGGTTCACTATATATTTTTTTCTATCGGGAGGACCACAGATGGCCACATAAGGGAGGTTGCTGCTTATTTCAAGTGACCGCTCTAGCAGGTTTGGCTATATTAGTATGCAGCAATGGCTTACCATTTTGATGTATCGATGTTCTTGGACGGTGTTGTGTTGGCCAGGCTAGAATTTGAAGGATTTAGTTATGTGTTTTGTAGTGACACCCTCAGACATTGATAGACATCCCAGACAATAGGTGACCGACACAAAGACCAGGAATTAGACAGCAAGCGGTGGTTTCACAATGGAAACGCACGAACGCGTTATCGAAATGGTGGCTTCTAGTTGAATATTCCCCCGTGCTTTCTTTTCATTACACTTCAATTCCATACGTAATAATTCAATCATCTAATGGTCTTAGTGTTTTCCTTTCGACGACAAAGTCTATAAGTGTCAATTTTGTTCAATAATTGTATTCTGATTCTGGCGGGAAAATCATTTGCTTTTTGTCGTCTGCTCTTCGCTGTGGCACGATTTAAGCGACGTTACCAAAGACCTGTCTGTTTTTGCTAATGGAGAACAAGTTGTCTTTTACATTTCTGGCGGCTCTCATTTTATAAAGCATTTGAGTGTCGCATGGGAAAGGAGCGTAAATTGTGCCCAGACCGCGGCTCACCAGCAACGCAGACCTCTTAAATATCATAACGGCTAGTCAATAGCTATTTCTATTAAAACAAATATGATGTCAGATCATGAAAATGTTCCTCCATAGACAACATTCTCTGCGCTCCCTTTATTGTCAGGCCTATTCGATAACACGTGCTTTGCAATTTCATCTTGTACTCAAAATAGATGCGGAATTGGCATCTCTGATGATCTGAAGGTTTCCCCTTTCTCCTGGCTTTTGCTTTATGATATTCTTACAATAACATTTACTTAGAGGTTATAGGTACAAGATGGCTAGCGTCCATAAACATGACCTCTGCCCAAAGTCATAAAAATAATAAGACAAGAATTTCCGCGCGCTCGTAATCAGATTAACCCTGCCTGCCGTTACTTGACGATGCAAATGAAAGGTTGAAGGAGCTACCAAACAATTACTGTAAAGAACGCACACCGGAATAAGTTCCGACACTGTAATCTCGGGGCGAGTTCGATTGAACATGTCTTATTTATTTAATCAAAATGCTCATGGATGACTGCACAGCCTGCTCGATCATTTCCATTACTCGACGGTGTTTTAACAGCAGATAGTTTTCGGTATTACACTGTAATCATTGAATGAATTGTTTGTGTATTCAATTTTGGTGACTGGATGGAAATGAAAAGAGAAGAACAAATATTAATAATAAAACCCTATCAACCGGATGATATACAAACTAGTAATCATGACTGTTGTCAGAAGCCACGGGGGTGAACATGTTAAGACGACGAAATATTTCTGTAAATGCTCTCTGATATCATCAAACAAGGAACAACGCTAACAGAAATAGTTACCAGACAATTGAACATTAATTATAGGATAAAAGAGTAGATATACTTGTGCTTTTGGGAATAGACTTTTGGGTGAAATAACTTATTACAAAGCAGATGACTATGTTATTAGACATCGTTAATTTGCATGAGCATAATATATATCGTCGACCTGAGTTGTTTAACGTTATAATAGAAAAATAACAGGAAACTAAATAAGAAAAAATGCGCATTGAGTTGAGTTACTTTGTAAAAGCCGAGAAACAATGTTTTCGAAATGAAATTTGTTTTAATGCAAAATTGACTTCACAAACAAACCAAATCTTGGATGAATAATTGAAATGTAATCTTAATATTTTCCACCCCATATAACCGGCTAATATATACTGTACTACATGAAATATATTTTTTCTTTTGCTATTTATTTGGGATTTATTAATGTTTAAATCAAATGATGAAAATATGTTAAGTGATATTCTGAATCCATAAAAATCTTCAATATCATTTTACCATGAGAGGTATATTTCATTTGGTTTTGTATTTAAAAAGAGATACATTTGTACATCATATATGCTCATTTAATTTTTAAATGCTTTATTGCTTAGAAACATATTTGTTAAATTCCCTAGTACAAAAATCATTAATATTCATAATTAAAATGCTATATGGAACCTCTCCTTTCGTATGCTATTCCATAGAAGGATAATACGTTGCATATTGTATGCCCATATCATAGAACGACCAAACATGTACCTTTTTTTCATGTATAGAGGGACCATGTTTTTTCCTTCCAAAATTAGGTTGAATATTTTAATTTATGGACTTTAAAAACTATGACTACAAATTTGTATAACTAACGCGAAGTTGACCGCTTTAGCAAATATGCGAACATTAGAGACTACGAAAAACAAAACAAATATCAATAAGTAAACATGTATATACTTATACAGACTCGTGCACATCATACTTCAGTAATATCGGGAACGACAGTTTGAAATAGCGGATATGAAACTCTTTTTAAGTGATGCATGGCATTTGGTGTCATTGTAAAATTATAATGATATTGCCATTAAATTAAGTTATTGCTTCTCCAATAACGTTAGAATGTATCGAGAATGTTCCAGAGAAACCATATTTTCACTTGCATAACCGCGCGAATTAAAACTCGAAAATAACAACAACTAAAGAGATCTCGAAACTCAACTAAAACTCATGAAATCACATCAACAATGTACAAAACTAGGTACTCCTGAAAGGTAATCATTCCTAAACCACAGGTGGAGTCCTTCAAGATGTCTCCGGTCTAACTTACAATGTAGGAAAATGTGTAGATTAACAAGGATCTAAGACACATTAAGCGTATCTATTGTCATTGTAGACATTTTGTTTTCTTCAGTGGAGTTTGGAAATTAGCCGATATACAATCCTGACCACCGTTTATTTCCCACCAGAATGCATCTATGTTTAAAATTATCCTGTATCTGTTATGTTTCTTTAATGCTTAGAAAAACAGGATTTGCATGTAAATCTCAAAAGAATGGTTGACTGTTACATCGTAGAACTGTAGTAACCGTAAACATATCATTTAAATAAAGTGTGATCACTTGTAACCAATTGGGGTATAATCTGGTTAGTATCTCCTAGGTCTTTGATAATTTATATTTTTTCTGATGAATACACCTATCTTTCCGGAGATAGTTTTTATCTTTCTTTGTATGTATTGTTTTGTCCAAGGGGTCTGATTTTGAGATATATCTCCGTATGTTTCGGAATACGTCAACTGGACCTTCTTCTGACATGATCTACATGAGGTACAAGCCTACATTGTAAGAAAACTGCATGTTGAAGACAAAAGTTGTAAAAGTTAACGTTATAAAGGTACATTTCTCATCGCACTGTATCTCTGCAGATATTGCGGAGAACTTTAGACACATAATTCAGTTCTTTTGGCATTTAGTGGCACTGATGAGTCCTGAATGGACAAAATGGACAAATGATGCAATAAAATGATTATTATTCATCGGCATTCTTGTTATTAAAACAGTCATCTGTAACCGCGTATGACTAATGCTAATTTTCCCCTAAGCCCTGACGCTGTACCATTAACTGTCTGCTTCACAAGTGGACTGGATTCATGAGTTTCACCTGTAGGAACGATGGTGTCTTTGATCTGTACTCTACAAACTGGTGATATTTGGTTCCGTGTTATTAGCATCTATATACTACTTTATACCACCTACATATACCGGTAACATGATAATTCATTATCATTGGTTGTCAGTATGAGAAGAAGTTGAGAACGACTTGAGAACAACTTGAGAACAACTTGAGAACGGATTTGTCCATTCCCCAGCACTTGGGAACGTGTGTTTTCAAAAACGAACGTCTGCTCGCGCCAGATGACGTCCGAAACCGGAAATAGTATCCGTACAATTTTCTCATTGCTCGCACGTAGATGAAATCTCGAGACCTCCTGCGGTGACCTCTCGATTTTATCCACCTACTTGGAGAAAATTGTTCTCACGACAAACTCAGAAAATACAGTGTAATAATCTATAAAAATCACTCATGTAATCTAATTTTATAACGAAATAAATACCATTGATCTATTGGCATAGCTCTTTATCCGATATCCCAAACACCGTTTCCCGTTAAACTGATATTATTTAATACAATTATACGGAAAAGGGAATTTTAAACAGATTGAATAATTTATTATTTCAGGTTGTGTGGACCGACCAGTGGTCAACGCTTCTCACGTTTGAAATCCAAAGAATAATTGACGACGACCGGATCAGCGTTGAGCGTCCGTACACCAAAGACTGGAATCTGCTCATACACGAAGTGCGATACTCAGACCGGGGCCGCTACACATGCCAAATAAACACAGACCCAATCAAAACAAAAAATGTTGTTTTATACGTTCTAGGTAGGTACCGACATAACACACCTTCAATTATCTGTCTTTATAATAACTTAATGCAATGTATACGAGACTAGAATAGTGGAAATGCGGAAATATTATCTGAACCGAATTAACATTGACTTCATTTTATAAACTACATTTTAACGCAGTCTGTACCTTCATATTCTATTTTAAAGTAACTGTAATGTCTGTTATTTTGTATCTAAGACGCAAACAAATCCAATACCGTGCACATCACATTTCATTTGTAAAGTGAGATGCACAGACATTTCTAAGTCGTCCTTCCAGGCGCAGCAACTCACAAGGGCTTTCCCTAGCTAATATAAAACTTTCGCTGAAGAATAATTGATAGGGTGTTTGATATTTGGTAGAATCCTCTGTAACAAATTACAACTATCAAATTAAATAAAGCGACAGAACAGAGGCTAGCTGTATAAAACAGCGTCATAACATGTGCGTTGGTATAGAAAATGCGGTTTTAAGGGGACGGCGTGTAAAAACGTTATGCACGAATACGACAATGACACATAATTGGTCGAGTATCTCTCTGGTTCTCTGGAATACATTCCACGCCTAAATGACCAATTATGTACATTAGCTGTATTTGATACCGTCGTACAGATACTGTGACGAGTGGTATATAGGCTCATCCATTGTACTAAACGATCCCAAAACATGTAACATCTGGTGTTTTGGTTTGTTATGAATGGTCGAAGTGTGGTATTTCTCTCACCTCTTTAGGCGGCTCCGTTAAATTTCTTTATGAAAAATACATGGCTTACTAATCATATTTATTAGACTTAATTTATGATGGATTTACGAGATATTTCCTGTGTTATTTGCATTCTACATGACCCCAATTTCCTAGTATTACACTGGATTATGAATTACATTTCCCCCTGTCATTTTTCCTTCATAGCAAAGAGAACGGTATGTGATTGGTAATCACAAATTATACCGATAACGAGCTCAGTTTCATCCTCAGAGATGATAACCAGATATCTTTTAAACAATTCGATCGTTGGTGAAATTCTCCATGCGTTTCTAGATGTGTCAAAAATGTGATTCATTGTTTTTTGCCAGGATGGTCCCCTCAACAACACTGCAAATACAGCTGTAATTATCTTGGCTGCTGGAACTATCTTAATTAAGCAGAATAAAATAATTGCAGTAAATATTCTTCGTCAAATAAGACACACAGTTTGGTTAAAATCTCTTGGTGGTCTTTATTTATTTATTTATAATTACAGTCTGTGGAATGTGTACATGTCAATTTGGATGTTGTATAATGCGTGAAAGGTTTCATCTTTTAGACAGTGCTGGAGGTCAAACTTTCTCAACCATAATTCCAACTACAACTCTTACTATCTTCGATTTATTAAGTTTTTACATGAATAAATAGTTCAGTTAAGAACTAAGGTTTTGTATGCAGGCGACAAATGCATGGCGTGAAATGTAATTTCTGGAAAAGCTTTCGTTTTCGAAACAAAGTGTTTATCCTTTTTATTACACACAAATATACGGTTAACATTATATATAATATACTCAATACACTACACATAAATACACTATACCGACAATGACCGGCAGTACACTACATTGTCTGCGACATATTCAATAAACTACAAATGAATTCACTGAATGTAAACTACATTCTTAACTCTAACAGGCCCTCAGTGTACGACTCGTTTGCTGCTATTATCTGTGATATTGCAGCATTCTTAACTGTATTTTGTTTTATTTTAAGCAAATATTAGAGATCTTCGAATGGGTGCTGGCCTCTGGCCTTTGTTTGTACCTGAAATATAAAATACTCATAATGCATGTGAGACAATGGACCAAGAAAACAATTTAAGGATCCCTGTCCAACTGCAGCCAAAACACTAGAGAATTCCACTGTAGGTTTTCATACAAATAGAAAAAGCTCATTAATGTTTATTTTAACTGTCGCGCAACTGCGCCAGAGTGATTCAGTTCACCAGATAATGCATTTGGTTAAAGCGACAGTATAAAGATGCGAGGGCCAGGGTTCGAATCCTGATTCCACAAGGTATTGTTTTCTGCTCGGGAATGAAACATTAAAGCCATAGCCATGCCTAGAATATATCATCTCTTTAGGGGGGAGAAATATGAATCTCAACCCGAGATTCTTCAGTTTCCAATAACGAGGATTGGCCGTGTGTTTGGCAACTTAAAAATGTTTCCTAAATCTCACCTCAATGGGCTTAATGATTATTTTTCTCTTACCTTGTTCACCATATCATATACAAAGTGTGTTGTTGATATTACAGGCTAAATGCATTGTTGACGGGACAAGGATATCTCACACCGGGAACAGTGTGGATACACCTACCCAGGTTACGAGGAAACGAGCCTTCCCTGTATGGTTACATTTAAGGCAGTTGTACAGGGTTCCTTAACATCTTGTAAATGATAATGTTGCTTCCATGTTTTATTTCAAACTAATAGTGTCATCGTTGTTGATTTTAGTGCCTCCGCGGATAATCGACGAGGCGTCCACACGTGATATTGTTGCTCGAGAGGGTGAGACAGTTACACTTGTGTGTAACGTCACTGGAGTGCCAACCCCTACAGTCCATTGGTACCGCCGACCTCTGGGTCAGAGTCTTGGAGTCAAAGAACGTGAGTAATACGTCAAGATTTTATGTTGAAGTCAATGGATGTCCTTTGCAGAGCCAACGTAAGTACTGGTAGTAAGTATGACTAAATATGACATTTTTTATAACAATTTTTTAATTTAAATGATAAAATTAAAAAAACAATTTACTATATATGTGATACAGTATTCAAAATTACATTCCTATCCGATGGACTGTTTGTAGTATGTTTCTAAATACCTATGAACTCATAGTGCTGGAAATAACGAATGTATTAAGTCTTACAATTGGAGCTAGAAGGGGCAATAATGGTTATTTTTTGTTTTCAAAATATGTGTTGATTCAGTTTACATAAATCATGATGGTTTACCCTACCTTTTTATATGAAAGATGTTATCAACAAACCAAAGTCCTAAGTAATAATGTCTTAGTCTTTTTGGGTGAAAAACAATGCTTATGTATGGATATGTATCTGTTGAAGGCATTAAAATAACAGATAAATGCTTAATGCAGACACTGTTGCATTGATGAAACTGACATATGAATTACTTAAAGTCAATGAAACATGTATTCTGTGGAGACCCTATCATTAAGTGTGTGTTCGTGTACGTTTCCCAACTTATCAAAGACATCCTGATAGGTATTAGGTTATTGACAATGATACAATACAACACAATGTGAGGTTTGATAAATTGGATGGGGTACCGTAGACAATGAATGGACACATCAAATCATACAAATCTATGCTTCAGATACTCCACGTATATGATAACAGTTAAATTAAGTTATCACGTGTATATAACCTAATTTCCATCAGCCTTACTTGGGTTTGTTACAGATATAGTTCAGACTTGTTTTACAGCTTTTTAGGTCACCTGAGCTTTAGCTCGAGTGACCTTTTGCTATCCGTCTTCGTCCGTCGTCGTCCGTCGTGCGTCGTCCGTCTGAAGCTAAAACACTGTCAAAGGGATTTCATTAATACTTCATAGGAATGTTACTGATAACTCCTTGACCAAGTGTGTTTTTTTTGGTTCGATCAGAAATCCAATATAGCCGCCAAGGCCGCCATTTTGAAAAGCTATTTCAAACTTAAAGTCAAGTTCTACTGGGCTGATTTAACTGAACCTTGGTAGGAATAATCAACTCGTGGTCCCGACAAAGTGATGTTATTTTTCTGGTCGATCAGAAATCCCAAATGGCCACTACGGCAGCCATTTAGAAAAAACTATTACAAACTGAAAGTCACGTTTAACTGGGCCTATTTAACTGAAACTTGGTAGGAATGATCAAATCATGGTCCTGGCAAAATGGGGTTTTCAAGTCCATCAGAAATCGAATATGGCCGCCATGGCTGCCATTTAAAAAAACACACTATTTAATCAAGTTCTAATAGGCCGAATTAACTGAAACTGGGTCTAGGAATGATCGTCCATTGTCATGACAAACTTAACTTCAAGTTATGCTTAACTTTTTTTTTACTCAAATTTTGGTAGGGTTGATTGACATCATTATCTCCACAGCAAAAAAATAATACTGTCGGACTCAGGTGACTGTTAAGGCCCATGTGCCTCTTGTTTTATTTCAGGAACTGTTTCTATTCAGTAATTTGTTATACATAGCTCCATATAGACACAAAAAATGAATACAATGAGATTTGTGAAAGGTATGCATGTCAGAGTGAGGTACATGGTACCTGTATGTTTGTGTATGGCATTGTAACTATGAACATAACGTTATTGTAGAGAGATTGTGTGTGCAAGTCTGTTGTATGTCATGATCTGGTATACAGTTACGACCACCTGCCAAAGTATTGATGGTCTCCTCATTCACTATAGTCATTGCACTGACAACTTTATTTTGATTGTATCGTTCCTGCCCGAGGATCGATGTTGTTGTACAGAGTACACATTATCTGTCATTAAAGTGGTAAGCAATTTCATTTGATCACCATGTAATGTAATGGCAGCTTTGAGACGACGCCATGGCAGACTGCGGACTGAGTATATAAGAGGTAGGAAGTAACATTTGGTTTAGTACCCAAGCACGTATTACATGCTTGTAAGGCTTACGTTTTCTGCCACCTAGATAAGGACAACAACAATTTGATGTAAACAATAATATCACGTGATCTCAAATTTTCTATCATTGCACAAATAACGTTTTAACAAACATCTGCAATTTTGATTTAACAATACACCTTTACTGAATATTTTTTCTATTCAAATTGGAAACCAATGATTTAGTGATTGAATCATAAATTAGTGGCATAACTGTAAGTGTTAATAAACTCAAACTGGCAGCTCACATTCAGTACCTGGTAGCGCACATTCAGAGTGTTACAAAAAGGAACAAATTGTATCAGTTTGATAGTTGCTGGAGATATATTCGTTTCATATTAACATCAGACTTCGGGCATCTAGTTTGCCGTTGTTTTATAGAAGAGGTTTAATTTATATATTTCTGTTGTTGTTGTTAACTTCTTGGTTCCCCATTTCCGGCTTGATTTTGTCTTGGAACGGTGACCTATGGTCTTTATTTTAATACTCGCAAATTAAAACTTAGTTTACACAAACTGTACAAGATTGAATCCTTGACACTTACTTGCTTAACATGCAAAAAGTATCATCTGTCTTCTTTATACACTTGATGACAATAATTTTACTAGCGTTAAATCTCGTTTATTGGGGAAACAGGAATAAAACTAAAAAATCGTAACCATTGGAACCAGCTTATTTATATCAAGCGATCAGCAAGTATCGGGTTTGAACATTCATTAATCTTACCCTGCGCATTGAGATTTTTCTTGCCTTTTCCCCAAATTCGGGTATGGACAGATTGTGCTGTTGCAGAGTGTGGTCTATTTACTGAGAATGTTGCATAGATCATTGGTGATCTATGGCCTAGGCCTCAAGGGGTGTCACGTAGGGTTGCCTGTGTGGTACATGAAACACCCCGGGAGAACATGGTTTTACCTTTGGTTTACGAAGGATTTATTATTTATTCCTTGGTTTTTTTAATTCTAGGACTTTGTTTTTTTGTTCTGAATTTGACCTCCGAGGTGAATCTGTTGTGTTGACGTTATGGTATACTTGTTCGTATTTGCTTTGTAAAAGAAGAAAATTGTAATTTTGAAAACTGTAATATGTCTATACTGCGAAGATTCATGTATCAAAGAGTCTTTAACAGTTAAGTAAATAATTGTTATGTTCCCGCATGTGGTCAAGGGGAATCGTACTTTCTGGCGTTTTGATTTTATTATAATTTTTGGTGTTTCCTTCGATAGACAGATTCATTTGCCCTTTTGTCGTCATATTATATTAATATTTCCATATTTTAAAATCACATACTATACCTGCATATATATCCACCTGACAAAACTATGGATATTGGTCAAGTTTATAAGGTGTCCAGTAATAAAATGAAAAGTTGATTTGTTACTTTAAAGCACTAACATCGTTTTATAACGACAGCCAAATTACAACTATGGGTATATACAATGACAAGTTACAAACATATTAACAAATATTGTCCTTTTTATAAACGATGTTGTTTGTTACAGTTTAATCCCACGCCAAACTATTGAAAGTCTGTTAGCAAGTGTTGTCCTATTTACCCAACGAATCGAGCTTCATAATTAGATAATTCGCCAATTTGATATAGTCATCGGAGCTTATGGGTTGACCTAAGTGTTTCATAAATGATGGAGTTGTTATCTACAGGGACAAGGATATTTAATGTAGGCTCGTTATCAGAGTAGGACTTCTCATCGCTAGATTTCGGGTCGAACGATAATCCAAAGGTTAGGTATGTAAACCAGCATCTCTCTTCTGTCAATCTTGATAGCATTATAATATCAGGTAACGACTAATTATCTGTAAATTATTCAGATCACCATTAACTTGGAACAAAACTATTTACACTTGACAATCTATCCCTTTCTAGAACACAAAGCACTTTTTATTGTGCATATATATTGCACAAAGTTAAGGGTCAATTGCCTGCTTATTGACTGGTCAATCACCAAGAATGACATAATGGGCACAAGCCACATGGAGTCTATTATTCATTTTAATGTGTGACTAGCCAACCCATATACTTCTACAAGGTCCTACGAATTGTGCAATATGTGGCAACGGTGCGGTCTATCGCACAAGACGTGACGTCATACTATAGAAAACAGACCCGGTGCCCCATTTTTGGAAAATAGCCATTTGTTGGCTCTACCGTGAATAGTGAGGGAACACATCTATACATGGTTTAAGTTATATTAAACTTAAATACAGGCATCTGTTAAAGTTTGTATATTCTACGAATGAAATAGAATTGTCATTGGTCTGTCAACTACATATAGACTATATACGTAACTGCACATATATAGAAAGGTTTCGATTGATTGATATTGCTAATCAATTCGTTTTATGGAAGACATGTAGGATGTAGGCATCATTTTTGGCCAATGAAGATACATAATATGTCTTTACTGTGGCCTGTTAAAATTTGATTAATCAGAATACAAATCATACTCATGAACGTGCTGTACACTGACCAATTATGTCACACTTACTCCTAACTTTATCTAATATAATTCATTTCTCTACAGTATTGTCAAATAAATTAGATTTAAATTATTTGTATATGGTCTATTTCAGCCACAACTGTATCGCAATATGTGTTATACGTCTATAGGTTTGAAAGATATCAGAATCAAAGATTATTCCATAAACAAACATGAACCATGATCCATGAGTCTTCATTCAGTTTGGCTTGTTCTCCATGCGATTTATTAGTTAAAAATCTTAATCATGTATCAAAATAAGTTAGGTTATCAATAAAAAATAGAAATATATGCAGAATTTCAATAATATCTAGACTGTTCACCAGTTCTTTCACAATGTACATATAAAGTTAACCTTTCTGTACAGGATCATAGAAATGTTTCAACATTCACTTATATTCTAGTATATTAAAGATACTCTAAACTATGTTGACATGTCACTCTTATTGCAATCCGATACGAATATATCGATATATGTAAAAATACAATGAAGCTGAAAGGAAAATATTAATTCCATAATACCTTTATTTGTGGCACTGAGAATTTTTGGTTCGTAATATACACAATCAAAATGTCTCTCTGAAATTTTAAGTTTAATATTTTAATTTGCAAAATTTCAAAAGGTGCAAGGCTAAGAGCGTTGAACAGACTTAAGCATGAACGACTGTTATTACACATACTTCGTTTTGTGTTGTGATTTGATCTTTCGTTATATAATTCGTCACAGGACATCTTTAAATCCCCCTGTAATGAATCCATCCATCATACTATTGGCTTATTACTTAATTTCCTATACTGACCACCTGCCGCATGCTATACTACCGATGTCGGTCCATTCCTTCATAGACCATGACCAGGTGTAATATATGTATGTATACGTTAACTGCATGCTAGACGAAGACAGTGTAAATGTATCCAGTGTCATTATAGAACAGTGTTTTCCATCCATTTAGTCATGTACAATATTTCAACAGTACGTTTATTTTATATGATTTTATAAGTTTATATAGAACAATACAGTAAACTGCATGGGATAGTGCGAGGCAGCTGAAACAATCTTAAATGTTGTACATCTGTACCCTGATTGCTTTACTTCAATATGTATTTTGCTTTGTCAGGACTGGAAGGACGAGGGCGCTCTTCCATAGGACCATGCACTTACAATCGTTCAGGTATTGAAAGACTTATGTGGTATAGCCGTGTGTCATGCTTTTTAAAGTTTATGTACGTGACTGTCTTATCAGCAATTTGTTGACTGACTACAGCTGCACACACCAGTTTATGCGGTCAGAACATTTCTCTTTCAGGATTTGTAAGTATTCAGTGTGTTCAGTTATCGTCTATAGTATAAAAGTAGAGCACAACAATCGGCATTTTGTTGAATTCAAAAATATAAATATTAATTACAAACTGGATCACTATCTACAATATGTTGTAAGATTTATGAGATAATTTCCATATTTTCTTCTATTTTTGATTTTGTTTAGTTATATGTAATCTTTTCTGATCAACGGTATGATATCGACAAGTGCTGACGAGGTTTACAAACTTCACGTGTATTTTAAAGAAATAAGTTTTTGATTAAAAATGAAAATTAATAAAGGATATTTTATTATGCTTTCAAAATAGAAAAAAATAGAAATCAGTTGAATTACTATGATTTTATTTGTATTGATATGATTTTAATCACAAGAATATGTTATTATTTATGTAATTTTTCGTTTAATTTGAGTTACACACCTTTTGAAAAACACTTGGTTTCGAACAATCATTAGTTGTTTTTCGCTTTGTTAGATGTCCATATTTCATTTTGTTTCCTTATTTGTTGATGATTTTTTAACACAAATCCTGATCGAGAAAATAAAACGCCCTTTTGTCTCAAAATGTTCTGTTAAGATTATAAGGAAATATTGAGATTAAAAACAGGTAACGCCATCTTTGGATCAGCACCATTTACAGACAAGGTAAGTTGTTTTCTTTGCGATATATTTTAAAGGTAAAAAGAAATTAATTGTCATTGTAAATCATCTAGTGAAACATGAACATGAAATGATTTCAACTACAAGACAGAGAATATAGCTCGAGATAAATGTGGCGACCGTATAAACTGGTGGACAGCTGGTTTTCCGGAAGCGGAAACATGTCACGTGAGTAGATTGTGCATGGCTTCCGGTTGCTCATCCTCGCATTGGAGTTTTCACTTACTAACAATGATTAACAAACTTGAAATATTTAGAACAAATAATAAACTGTCTTATTGTAGAATATGATAATTATTATTTAATTGTATAATTATTTCATGTTAATTTTTATTTCCGTGTTTTGAAAAAAATAGAATTGAAAGACACTTGATAAAAAAAAGTGTTGTTCATGTTATGATGTAGTTCGGGTAATATATCAAGATGGGGATTAGAAAAGCTTAATTTAAGGAAATAAGTAATTATTTATAGTAACTTCAATCCTATTCCAGTTTGTAAACAATGTAAATATTTCATACAGAATATATTAAGTGCTTGTCATAGATATACTTTATATACAGATACCTTAATTCACAAATGTAAGACCGTAAAATGATATATTTGCATTTTCGTGGAAATGTCGATGAGGAGCAACCGTATTGTAGATATAGACTAGCTTTGGGAATCATCATATCGTAACAAAATAAATCTGGAAAGATCATCAATCTTTCATAAATTCGAATTTCAAAAATAGACTTTACATTTGTTGGTGAGAAGTCTATGATGGATTTCGGTGATGTCTGGCTGTAAGTGCATGTGTGTATGGAGGACGCAATGTTCACTGTTTGTGTACTGATCTACTAACACACTGACTAACACCTTTTTTACTCTTTATATATGTCAATGACTAACATTAATTAAGTCTCAATTTGACCGCAGAGCTTTCTTCTTGTCTCGTTCGGATATCGGGTTAGTATCGTTTCTAATTTTCTTTAGAGGATGCAACGGTAGATGAAACATGGTTTTCCTGACTTGTTTCTTTTTAATTCAACAACACTTTACAACCAAATTTAGTAGCCTTCATGCCATTGTCATATTTATGTCATTGCTAATTAAAATATGAAAGAATGCTTGTTTATTTCAAATCAATTATAAAATCTAGCACTTACGTGGATGAAAAAGATTAACAACGAAAGCTCTGTGTGTCAGGATGCTATCAATATATTGATATATTATATTAATATGCATAAACAATAATGTATGTTCTCTTTGAATATACATATTTAACATGTGATCTAATACTCTTTATTATGAATTTGTGATCAATTTACCTTCTGGTCCTGAGAATGTCTCTTTACATGTTTTAGTGGCTGCATGGTATAATACGATTTTGTAAGCTTATATTTATAAACACATATCTATGTAGCGCATATATCAGTTTACATGTCTAACGGGTTTGTATTTTATATATCTAGTGTCGTTATATCAATAATTGTGCTTCTACATTCTGATCTATTTTTCAAATATCATACATTGTATGTTAATACTTGCAAGTTCTGAAAATAAAACACTTCCAGATTTATTTAAGATAAAAATAAACCCCAATGCTATAGTTTCAACATTATATATTAAGAGTTTGAAAAGTTAATATAAGTTTCAAAACAGACGAGTTCATCACTTTGGTAACTTTTAAACTTTTGCCACGTACGACATTGTACAAACAAACAGGTACATATTTGCCAATATTTATCGCATTTTCCATATTGTCATGGCCATAACACTATTTGATAACGAAAGAATATATTCTAGTGTCGAAATATCTCATTACCCATAATTATAAATTTATTGACACTTTTCGACATTCTTGTTTTAAATTTAATACTGCATTATTATACACATGTGTATGAAATAAGATCTTACAATATTTCAACATTCGGGTTATATATGTCATTAGCATGACGAACTTGTATGAAGTTCTTGAGAAGTAGATGAATCATTGTTTATGAATGAATAAAATGTTAGAAATTTTTTATTAAACAAAAACGTTAACAACGTCCAAAAATATCCCCTATGAAGAATTAAGACCAGAAACTAAATCACAGAACTCTCCCGAATCAAATGTAAATAATTAATTACCAATAGGCCAAACAGTCAGACGTTAAGCCCGATGGGACATTGAGTATACGTATTTGAAATTACCCAAACTTATATATATATAAGAATCTCCTAGAAGAAATGAAAGTACTAAAGACTCGTTGTTGAGAATGTTTCTTTTTATAATATTTCGTCGTCCGTAAGGATAATTTTTCTGATTTATAATATACATATAGTCTTCGGGTTATATATGTCATTAACATGACGAACTTGTATAAAGAATAGAGTCTTTAGTACTTTCATCCCTTCTAGGATATTCTTCATTGTCATAATAAATATATATATATATATATATAAACACATTTGTATGAAAATGTATATACATCACTGAAGATTGATCGTTATAATATGAACATACAGTGCATGTCATAAACTCGAAAGTTACATTTATTCCGATAAAAACTGAGGAGAATGTATGACAATGAAATAACTTTATCAATAAAGCTGAAATCTTTCAAGCATGTCGCCTCCTATGTATATCGCACACGTGCTTATCAAATTTCACCTGTGTAACTATATAAGTTCTCGTAAGTACATTCAATATTAATACATATTGCAGGATTTATCTTGCCCTTTATCCCCCATATTTTCAACATATTAAACGATATTATCCTGAATATGAGCACATGAAGCCCCTTCTAATATACTTGTATATCTAAAGAAATATCTATAATTTCTTAAATAGTTTGATAATCATATCAATAATCAACATACATAATAAGATATTCAGACCCAGAACCTGTTTGTTTTATGCAATACGTTTGTTAAAAGTAAAATGAAAGATAACGGTAAACAATAAGTAACGATGAGTTCATGTTATTCATATCATACATTTGTATCATCAAGCTGGTTGTGTTTGCAATGCTATGTGGAATGAGTGGTATTGTAAAGCGTATACCCGATTAACTCGTGTCACCTGTCTTGTTTACAGCAATAGTGATACCTATGCAAACACCCTCACCAGCAGTCATAGGCCACAATTGGTCGGTAGGACGCGATGGTACTATATTTCTAATTTTCAGAGATTCCTCCGCTCCACCGGTTTGCTTCTTCTTCCCAGATAGTTAGCAGCTGGGGAGATTAACACTGTCTCACATTCTCTTAGCTCAGCTGCAAAACTAGAAACTACTGATCTCTATGTGTGTTCCATCATACTAACTGACCATATCGATTAATAATATCCCGAAGACTTAACACATTCCCTTTTCCTCGTTAATGACCTCCACTAGACCTTGGACCTCACGTTTGTTTTTCACGTGCACTGTTTTCAATTCACTTTGTTCCTTATATGATGGCTGCTTTCTTTGCAAGAGTCGTTACGCACCCAGTCTAACTCACCCGATTTGTATGGATACATCTTTTGTAGTTTTAACTCGGAAATCACCTTAACACATCAGCCTTTGGCGAGCATGATTGGTGTTGTTTAATTCCAAAAATGACATGCAGCAAAAACAATTGATAGTATTTTCTTTATATTCTTGGTAGTTGTACACACACACACACACGATGTCTTTGTCTTTTGGATAATCAAGATATCTTAATGATATAATCAATTGCTGGAATCAACACAAAATACATTATCATTTAAACAACAATGAGACGATATAATAATTGAATCTCATTGTTTGTGGTCGTTTCTGCGTTGCTTAGTTTAAACTTTTATAACGAAATGTATTTTACAATTGTTTTAAGATCTAATAAAAAAAAAAATACAAGCATGTAGAAGACGTAAGCAGAAGATAAAGACGTAGATTTCTATTTTCCCATTCTCTAGACACAAAAGAGCTTTGCAAGTGAAAAGAAACTTTTCCCTCCATCCCTGCTTTGTGTGTGATATCCAGGCGTTCTTTTTATATCGCCATTATTTTTAGTTTCTTTTGTAATGAAATTGTCAGTTGATCAATAAGTAAGATAATATAAAATTTGCATCTGTTAATGGTTTTATTTAAATCTAAACTTATGTCCAACAATTCAACTCCTCTTTAGGAAAAAGGAATTTGTTATTATATTTTTTAAAGCTAAGGAATATATTTTTTGTTGGTAGAGTTGTTCATGTGTATTTCTTATTAATTCATAATCGTTACTATGATTGACAAGATGGCTATACATATGAAAAGTGATGTGTGTCATTTAAGAATGTTTCAATCTCTTTGAGAGGAAGCCTTAAGTCTGCTGATAAACACAAATCGATGATGCGTAAGTATGACGTCATCAATTAAGTTTATTGAAATTGTTAAATATATAACGAACATGTGTGTACGCATACCGATATTGAAGATTAAATTGACTGAAATTGTCCTCAATATAAGACAACAAGTCGTTCCTCCGGAACTGACTTTTTATTTGCCCACGTTAAACAACAGTTGTGTCGGAATCTGATACGCTACTTGTGAAATAGGAATACAACGAAAAATGGATATCTAATAATAAAGACAAAATTGATGACATATTGGACGTGCTTTCGAACAATATGACCTAATTAACGTGAACATGTTGATGCCGCATAATTATACATTGTACAACGTCACCTGGTGGTAGTATACGTATCGATGGGGCTGCAGTATATATGTGCAAACGTGTGATCTGTGCATCTGTTTTGTAGTGTGATGTTTCTGTCAATTGCTCGTTGAACGAACTGTACTTGTAAGTGTAGTTGTGCAAAACATGTTGAAATGTTGTATGTTGGTAGAACGGGATTAACGAAATAAGGTACCAAATCATAGGAGCGATATCTGACTGTGTCAACCATACATTGTACATGTGTAGGAGTAACACCTGGGTGTATGTATTGGTTCACCTTGGAAGGACGTTCTTCTCCGTGCTGTGTGATTTAACACTTACATCATCATGCTTATCTAACATGTATACTCTCTCTCTCTCTCTCTCTCTCTCTCTCTCTCTCTCTCTCTCTCTCTCTCTC